TTCTCCAACACAGGGCCATTTATCTCCAAGGCCCTCACATTCAGGGTCGAGCGAGAGAACGAACACAGAGGGCCTAAGTTACCGTCACAGTGTCTCAAGGACAAACCCAGCAGCCCCCTTCTGAGTCACGGCCAAGCTTGTGCAGATGTGTCCAAAAATGATAAAACTAAACCTCAGCCAATTAAAAATATACTAATGTAACCTCTTATGTAACCAATTATGTAGCTGACCCTGAAACTCCCCTTAGCTGTGCTTAAAAGGAGCCTACATGTCCCTCTGGGGGTCGTCGCCATTTTGTACAGGTGAGCGACCCCACTTACAAGTGGTATAATAAACGTTCTTTGTTCTTGCATACTATTTGAGTCTGGGGTCTTCCTTCAGCGTTTCTTCGGACCCTCCAAGGACAGACAGGCTGAATACAAGAACAGCCAGGATTCTTGTACACTGTTGACTTGAGATACAAACGACACAACCACTTTGGAGAACTCCCTAGCAGCACTTTATCAAACACACTTCTGCCTTCTAACTCAGCTACTCCACTTGGACACTCCCATGCTCCATGGATGCTCACCCTCTAGGACACATTCACACACTCTCCAAAACACCAGTTGCAATAACCCAAATAGGAAATAGAGGAGTGCACAAACTGTGTCATCATTTGCAGAGGTCTGAACAAGAACCCCCTCCCCCTGCTCCCCACCCTGCCCCATAAGCTCATATATTTGAGTGCTTGGTTCCCAGTTGATAGAACTGTTTAGGAAAGATCAGGAGGTGTGGCTTTGTTGGAGGAGGTGTGTCATTGGTCACACTGTTCCGAGGTAGCTCTCTCTGCCTCGTGCTTGTGGATCAGATGTGAGCTCTCAGCTTCTGCTCCAGCACCATGCCTACCTGCCCGCCTGCTGCCATGTTCCCCTTGATGATGGTCATAGACTCACCCTCTGAAACCACAAGCAACCCCTCAATTAAATGCTTTCTTTTGTAAGTTGGTCATGGTATCTTTTCATAGTAGAACAGTAAGATATCACTCCACGGAACCACGCTTAGTATCACAAACCATCTACAAACCACTTTCCACAGATAGAACAGATCTCTCACAAGTAATAGCAGGTGAAAGGGACCATCATAAAAGGGACACACATTCTGTGTTTTCTTGACTGCAGAAGCCATGTGAGCAGCTGCCTCCTCAAGGTCCCGCTGCCTTGAGTCCCCTTCACTTCGTGTTCTCTGGCCCCACAATATCCAGCGTCACAAGCAAAAATAACCTATGGGGCTAGAGGGCAAAGCAGTGGCTGCCCTGGGCTGGTAAGCATGGAGGGGGCTTTCTGAGATGCTCACACAAGAGAGTGAGATGAATTGGGTGTTACGTGCACAACATGAATGTTTTCTAGATGCAAAACGTACTTTAGTAATTTTTTAACCAGGCGTGTTGGCACACAGCATGATCCCAGCACTCAGGAGGCTGAGTCTGATGTCAGCAGGGGCTACAGTTTTGGGGTTTTTTTTTTTAGCAGTCTGTTGCTTTCAAGTGGCTCAGACTTTAGAAGAATAGTAAAGGAATGGGGTGGTTTATACTGATTATCAGCTTGATAGGATCACATAGAAGACAAGCCTCTGAGCATGTCTGTGAGCAATTCTCTTGATTTTGTTAACATAGGTGGGAAGACCCACCCTAAAAGTGGACAGCACCATTCCCCAGGCCTGGGTCCTAGACTCCATAAAAAGCAGAAAGCTAGCCAAGTGTAAGCATTCATCACTCTGCTTCTTGACTGCAGAAGCCACATGACCAGCTGCCTCCTCAAGTTCCTGTTGCCTTGACTCCACTTCACTTCCTGTTCTCTCTGGCCCTACAGTACCCACGCTGGAAAAAGTCCCACTAGACATACTTCTAAAATACCTCTTTTTCTGTTCCCAACTTGACTGTCTCCTCCCTCAGCCACTTTAAGTGTCCAAACTAGCCACCATGGTTCCTCCCTCATCCCCAGCTTCATGGTCTTTTAACACCATTCTTCACCCCATAGCTGAATAAAGCCACATGTTAATGGAACAATCTTTTTGTACACTATGAAGATGTGACTTTGCCAAGGTGCCTTCTGATTGGTTTAATAAAAGAACTGCCTGGCCAGTAGCTAGGCAGAAGGTATAGGCAGGACAGCCAGACACAGAGGATGCTGGGAAGAAGGGCAGAGTCTGAGGAGATGCCATGGAAGCAGGATGAGGTAAGCGAGCCTTGGGGCATCATATAGACTAATAGAAATGGGTTAATTTAAATTATAAGAGACAGCCAAAAAAAAAATGAGCCTAAGCTATTGGTTGAGCATTTATAATTAATACTAAGACTCTGTGTGGTTATTTGGGAATCGGCTGGCCAGACAGAAAAGTCTGCCTACAGCCACATATGATGATTTTACTTTTTTTTTTTTTGGTTTTTCGTTTTTGAAGACAGGGTTTCTCTGTATAATTTTTTGGTGCCTGTCCTGGATCTCGCTCTGTAGACCAGGCTGGCCTTGAACTCACAGAGATCCACCTGACTCTGCCTCCCGAGTGCTGGGATTAAAGGAGTGCACCACCACCACCTGGCTGACTTTACTTTTTTACTTTTTTTTAATGGTTCAAAAGCTTTAAAAATGTTACTATGCAAAGCTGGACAGTGAAGGGTCTTTCTTGCACTCTTATCCCCACCATCCACTTTTCTCTGCTTGAACCCTATCTCTTTACTCCGAAAATAATAGATGTCTTCCCAGGATTTATGCAAAAACAGCAGTGGGAACATGTGCAATTTACCCAAAAGAGGAGACATGTGACTGCTGTCCTCACTAACAATGTATCTAAAAGGAAAAGTGCTCACTCACGCTGTATGGTGTCTCCCATGGACAAAGGGACAGTAGCCCTAATGATGGAGAGTGGTTATTCTTGGTCTTTTATAACTTGGTCAAAAGACATAGCCACCTTATATTTCTCATAAACAAGGCAGGACAACTACCCAGAAGTAGAACTACTGTCAGGCAGTGCCAATTGTATCTTCATATGCGTAATGTGGCAGGGTTTGTTTCTACTAAGTCTCAAGCAAACTCATTCCCAAACTTTGGTCTGCTTTATAAAAAACTATTAGTATAGTTTTAATTTGTGTTTCTAATGCAGTCAGGGGGAACGTTTTTCATATGCTTAAGAGGTCACTGGTGTTTTTTCCCTGGTGAATGATTGTGTCATTTGTCCTTATTCCCATTCAGTTGCTGACTTTTTTATTTATATATTCTGAGGCATAGACATAAGGGCTCTCTTGCCAAAGGAAATCTCATTTTCATTGTACTTATTTGTACATGTGTACAAGTTCATGTGTGTGTACATGTTTGTGGATATGCATGTATGACAGGGGTAATCTCAATTGTCAACTTGATGAGATCTAGAATCATCCAGCGGACATGCATTCGGGCATGTCTGTGGGTGGACTATCTTCATTTGTTAATTAAAGTGGGAAGAGTCAGCCACTGTGGGTGGCACCATTCCCTGGCTTGTATGAAGAAGAGCTGTTTTCACTTCTTCTGATCTAAGGTGACTCAATGTATTCATTTGATCACAAAACATCGTCTACCTTCCCTTTAGATGAGACCCTCATGAAGGTCTCTTCACCTTCTCTGCCTACATGAAGCCACTTCACTTCAAAACATTGTCCAGTGTCTGACTAGATTCCAAGAGGGGCCTCCACATAACGCTCAACACACAAGGCTCATTGTAACACAGGCAGTCCTATATTCTGGGGTTAGTGGAGAACGTGTAGAAGCCAGAAAGACAGGTAAACCTGGACTTCGGCCCACACTGAGGGCCCAGGTGTTTCCTAGGAGTAGATGTCCTTCACCAGCCCCTTTTACTTTGCTACAAAACACAGTTTGAGGCCTTGTAATCTCATCAGTACTATCCCCTCTTGCTCGAGTGTTTCTCTCTCTCTGTCTCTCTCTGGACACACACACACACACACACACACACACACACACACACAGATAAGTAGAGGAGGGCCTCTTGGGATCAAAGGACTTACTCAACTGCAGGTAAATAAACAGTCCTAGTTAGGTTCTGGGAGGCTGACTGCTAGACAATGAGCCCCTTCCAACTGTTCACCAACTTTACACAATACTGGCTAGGGACATCAAAGGCAAATAGTCCAGATTTAATGCCAATGGTGGTCCCTGGCAGGTCCTGCATGAGCAGGCTTGAAGAACCAGACACCTTCTCCTCCTCAAATCAAAACCAATACAAAAGAATTAGATAGCTAGCCACATATGTGATTTAAAGTTTTCTAAGTTAAAAGAAACAGGTGGGCCGGGCGGTGGTGGCGCACGCCTTTAATCCCAGCACTCGGGAGGCAGAGCCAGGCGGATCTCTGTGAGTTCAAGGCCAGCCTGGTCTACCAAGTGAGTTCCAGGAAAGGTGCAAAGCTACACAGAGAAACCCTGTCTTGAAAAACCAAAAAAAAAAAAAAAAAAAGAAAAAAAAGAAACAGGTGGAACATTTAAAATAGTTTACTGGCTTAGTATATTTAAAATGGTCATTTAAACAAGTAAGCAACATAACGAAATATTTAAAAGTAACTTTTCCATTTATTTATTTTTAGGGTGGAGCACTATGTGGAGGTCAGATAGAAGGCAACTTGCAGCAGTCACTTCTTTTCTTCCACCATGTGGATCCCAGGGATTGAACTCGGGTTAACGCAATTGTTAGTGAGTGCCTTTACCCATGGAGCCATCTCACTGGCCTAACATATTAATATTGCAATATCCTACACTTTTTGAATCTGTATTTTACTTGCAGGTTAACCAAGTTCAACCGCTCACTTGCTTCCAAAGGACAGCTCCAACCCTCGGAAAAGCCAAGGCCAACTCAACCTTCCCCACCTGGTTCCTAGCCAGCCTGAGGGGCGGGACCAGTGCGGGGGAGGCGGGACCGGCGCGAACGCCCCGCCCCCGGCAGCAGCACAGCCGGACAGTCCCTGCGTTGAGCCCACTAACCTCGCCACCGCCTCCACGGAGCCCGCAATGGCGGCTCCGCCGCCTGTGCCGCTGTCATACAGCACGCCGGAGATGTCAAGCAGCACTCCCCGCACGCCCGCCAGCCGCTCGGCCCACGTAGCCATCGCGTCCCGCTGTACACCCAGACTCGGCGTCGCTGCCACCAGTATCCCGCGGCCACGCCTTCCACGCGGGGTTGCCTGGGAAATGTAGTCCGCAGCTGGCGGGCCGGGCGCAAACCCGGAACCACGTGGACCCGCCTGGCGCTTGGCTGCGTTCCTTGGCTGCAGGGATCTTCAGGGCATAGCAGAGAAGCCGAGAACACGTTCCTCGGAACACCTCCCTAAGAGTCGGGGCGAGGCAAATTGAAATGAAAAGTAAAACCGCCCAGGAGGGATGGCTCTCACTTATAATCCCAGAAGGATTGAGAGTGTGAGGCTAGGGTCAGTGAGATGCCACAGGGGTCAAGGAAGCCTAACAATTTGCGTTGATTCCCAGGACCCATATGATAGGAGGAAACCAATTCCTGCACATTGTCTCCAGAGCTCCATGAGTGCATGCACACACACATATTGATTAAATAAATGAATTTTTAAGTGTTGGAGACCAGCCTGGCCTCAATACTGAGGTTCTGTCTCAAAAGTGAGAGAGAGGGGAAGAGATCTTGAAAGCAGTTGAGTAGTTGGCACAATCCCGCTCCTTGGAAACACTAAAGGAGTGCAAACAGGATGTCTGCAAGCTGGAAGAAAATTAATGTAGGGATATAGATCGAATATCAGGGATGCTGGAAGAAATGTGCCGTTGAAAAAAAAGACTAGCCTGGTGATGATGGTGCACGCCTTTAATGTCAGCACTTGGGAGGCAGAAGCAAATGGATCTCTCTGAATTTGAGACCAGCCTGGTCTATGGAGCAAGTTCCAGAACAGCCAGGACTATACAGAGAAACTCTGACTTGAAAAACAAAACAAACAAACAAACAAACAAAAAGACACCAGGCAGCAACCTTGGAAAACTCTTCTGTTTTAACATTATATGAAAAACAAAAATCCGGGGGCTGGAGAGATGGCTCAGTGGTGAGGAGCACTCACTGCTCTTCCAGAGGACCCGGGTTCAATTCCCAGCACCCACATGGTGGCTCACAACTGTCTATAATAACTCTGGTTCCAAGGGATACGGCACTCTCACACAGACATACTTGTAGGCAAAACACCAATGTACACAAAATAAAAATAAATAAATTATATATTAAAAAAAAAAAAACAAAAATCCCCAAGTTGTATGCATGCAACAGCCTTGGAAAAATAAAGACCATAGTAATAGGGGTGGAAGAAAAATGAGAATGACAGTGTGTGAAAGCAGCAATTTTTTGAATGAATTCTAACACTTTATTAATGTTATATCATGTTGGCCACAAACATTGGTCTAAAAACAGAGGGGTTTCCTGGACTGCCCCGTGAAGTAATGAAATTGAAATGAGGAAATGACTTCTTCTATTTGAGAAATTAGAGAGTTCAAAGGAGAGGGACCACATTCTGCTTCCATTCCAGGCTCTTGTGAACAGAAAGGATAAAGAATTCATCAGTTTATGTGTGGGGGTGTTTTGTCTGCATGGGTGTCTGTATATCACATGCATGCCTGGTGCCCATAGAGGCCAGAAGAGGACATCAGAGTTCCTGAAACAGGAGTTACAGATCATGGTGAACTGCCATATGGATGTTGGGAATTGAACCAGGGTCCGCCTGGCGGCAGTGGCACATACCTTTAATCCCAGCACTCAGGAGGCAGAGTCAGGAGGATCTCTGTGAGTTCGACGCCAGCCTGGTCTACAGAGAGAGATTCAGGACAAGCACCAAAACTACACAGAGAAAACATGTCTCGACAAACAAAACAAAACAAAAAGGAGAAGGAGAAGAAGAAGAAGAAAAGAAGAAAGAAACCAGGGTCCTCTGAGAGATTGTCCAGTGCTCTTAACCACTGAGCCATCTCTCCAGCCCCACAGAATGTTAGAACTTTAACCCATTCCACTGAGTTGTGCATTATTCTTTTGATGAGCTTACTGGAGGAACTATTTGCAAGAGAAATAAAAGGTGTACTGTCTACCCTGAGCGGGTTTACTATGCCAGAGACTAGTATTAAACTATATATAGAGAGAAGCCACTCCAGCTAGAGGAGATTTGTGCTCACCAGGCAAGAAGGAGCTTACAGATTTGGAGCGTAGAGGGTGGAGGCTGAAGAATCCGGCTGGAGTCCTACTTAGCCAGGAGTCGTACATCTATGAGAAATGGCTGCACGCTCTGCTCCTTGGACAGTCCTGTTCCATTGCCTGTTTGTAAGATGTTAGGGACCTAACAGAACACCCTTTGCCTCAGCAGAAGAACCAAACACTTTCAACCCTGCCTTCCTGTGCTTACCACTCCCTTTTCAACATCCCGCTGGACGGCACCCCGTCAAGTCTGCAAGGGAATCTGGGTCTCTCCAGACTGCAGGGTAGGAGCTAAGTGAGTCTGACTGAAGAATCTGCCAGAAGCCTCTACTCCATGCAGTGGGCTCTTGTGGTGCAAAGTGGCCTAAGATGTTATCTTTGCCTTCAGAGGTCAAGATGGTCAGAAGATAGAACCACACCTTCAGGATAGCTGGGTTGATATGTGCCAAGTGACAATGAGTAACTGAGATACAGCCAAGAGGACAGATGCTGTGGGCCATGGTTGGCAGCAGTGGCTTCTAAGCGGACAGGACATCTGAAGTGGGCCTTGAAAGAATCTCTGACTCGAAAGTCATGCCCAGGAGGATAGAGGGTACCTCTGTCACATCTACCAGTGATGAGCATGTCTGTGCAGTTCTGGCCTCTCAACTAGCTCTGTGTGGGACCTGGACAAATCACTGTCGCTCTCTAGGTAGACAGAAAAAACGGAGAAAAGCCAGTGACCCCTTGAAATTTCTACATCTTGATACCCAGAACCTGCAAGCACATTAGCTTATATGCCAAAAGAGGGCTTTTGCAGGTGTGGTTATAGCCATGACAGTGTGGGGAGATTAGCCTGGCTGATCCCGTGGGCCCAACATAATCACAAATGTTATCATTAAAGAAAGTAAGAGACAGAGGAGTGAGAAGCAGAGGAGATATGCCAAGAGCAATGGGGGTGTATGTTCTACAGTACCAACTTTGAATAAGAAGGCGGCATGGACCAAGGGAAGCAGGAGGCCCCTGGAAGCTTCAAAAGACAAAATGGATGTCCCTAAATCCTCTACGAGGAAAGCAGCTCTGCTGACACCTTGCTTTGAGGACTTCTAAGATCTAGACTTGTGCCAAATAATAAATCTGTCATCCGAAGCCACTGAATGTACACTGTTTGTTACAACAGAGGTAGGGAATGGATCCAGAGAGTCAAGTCTGGCATAGCAGCCCGACCTGATTGGTCTATGGCAACGAGTCGAGTCTCCAAATATTATCTACCTGATCCAAAATTCCAAGAACTTGGAATATAATGGGCGAAGGGCATTGTCTAACTTAGAGTCACTTCTGGCTACGTGCAATAACCAGATCAGGTTAGTTTTACTCATGGGCAGAGAAAGGCATATGGGAGAAAGGCCACCTTGGCCAGTACAACAGCTTCCTCCAGCAGCAGCAGCAGCAGCAGCAGCAGCAGCAGCAGCAGCAGCAGCAGGCAGTAGGCTGTTTCCGTCTTCCTCCATCAGCACCTGCACCTCCAGCAGGAGGTTTGACCCTCAAGCTCTCAGGCTGCCTGCTGCACTCCTGGGGTGGCTTCTGCATTTCAGACAGAGAGGGTGGGAAGAGGAAACAAAGGCTTCCCCAGGCTCCTAGCCCCCAAAGACTCTTTTGGCACCTTTTGGGTCAGACTCCAGTGGTCCAGTAGCACGGGCATGTGTAGGGATGCACGCTCCACCAGCAGCTTTGGGCTTAGTTCTTTTCCAGTAACAAATCTGCCACTACGGCTGAATTTCAGCTTACATATGAACCTATCAATCCTTGATTACTATAGCGGATGTATGTATAATCCTATCAGATTTACTCATACTAGCCAGGGCTCTGGTTGGCCAGTGAGAGGAAGCAAATTCCTGCAGCTTAAATTTCAAAGGAATTCATTGACATTCTTGCAATTAATTGAAAGCTTTGTCCCTAGCTGGTTACCAGCTCCAGGGAAACAGAGTGACAGGTCAACTGCCTCATGAAGAATCTTTTCTCAACTGGGTCTGACAGTTCCAGAAAAAGCTCTGATTCTCTTGGGTCAGGGCCTCTCACTCCCAGAGGAAAGTGGTACTTGGAAGATTCAGGCTGACTCATGTGTCCTACCAGGGCTGTGGGAAAGAACATTTGCATTCAACTCCATCACGGGCATGTGGAACCAGGGAGGCCATGGTTTGACTCTGCAGTGCCCCAGACAGGTTCTTGTTTTGAACACTTGTTTCCTAGCAGCTGGTGCTGTTTTGCGGGGTGTTGTGAAACTTTGGGAGGTTGGGTCTACTTGGCATAAGTAAGCCACTGAGGGTGGGTCTTTGAAGGTTTTACTCAACCCTCGCCCTCTACTTTCCTGGACACCAGTGACGTTGAACAGCCTGTGATACACACTTTGAACATGAAGGCTTTGTCATGTTTTCCCTCCCACAACACACCGAGACCCTCTGAAACTGTGAGGCCCCCCCCCCAAAAGAAAAAGACAAAACTTTTCCTCAAGTTGTTCCAGGCAGCTACTGTGATTGTGGGGGTGCAGAGTAACTATTACAGCAAGAGCAAAGCAATCATAACAAGAGGAAGAAGGAAGCAACCCTGTACAGGCAGAAATACCATGCTGGGGGATGTCTTTCTGTATGCTATGAATATGTGCTACTCCTATTGACTAATAAATAAGCTGCTTCAACCTATGGCAAGGCAGCTTAGAGGCAGGTGGACAGAGGTGGAGAGATGCCAGCCCACCACACGCCTGACGGAACAACAAGATGCCAGCAGATAGGTAACGCCAAGGCCACATGGCAACATATAGATTAAATGGAAATGGGCTGAGTTAAGTTAGAGCTAGCTAACAAGAAGCCTGACCCATAGGCCATACAGTTTGTAAGTAATATAAGCTTCTGTGTGTTTACTTGGGACTGAGCGGCTGCAGGAGGGACACAGGAAAACTTCTGACTACAATACCAGGCACCCACTACCCACAGGACCCTTTGTTTTTTGTTTTGT